AATTTTTTCTTCATAAATATTATGTAAATATATCCTGTTTTGTCATGGGAAATTTTTTTTTAACAACTCTTTTTTTTTTTAATATTTTATGGAAAGGCTACAAGGTCTCACTATTAGATCGGACTCATAGTGATCCTCCTGTTTACAACCTCTCATAGTGATTCACCTATTTACAGCCTCTCAAGAGCTGGGATTACAGGGGCGAGAGCTACCATGCCCAGTCCCAATTGTTGTTTCAGTGTGCTCCAGGGGTGGGGCTGGCACAGCAGGCCTGGGGATGGAAACTCTGACTCCTGAGCCTGCTTACAGGTGCTTTAATCCGCTGCGCTATTTGGTCGGCCCTGGGAAAGGGTTTGATTGTCATTTTTTTTTTGTAGAAAAAAATGACTTTGAGAAAAGTCTTGCTTTAAGAAAAAGAAATTGAAATTCAGGGAGTTGAAACTGGAAAGAATCTGAAGGTTGAATCAATCTTATTAGAGTTTTTAGAAAGGAGATAGGGCCAGGTGTGAGGACACATACCTGTATTTCCAGCACCCTGGAGACTGAGGTAGGATCACTGCTGCAAGTTTGAGGCCAGTCTGGACTATATAGCAAGAACCTGTTTTGGAGAAAGAAAAAAAGAAAGAAAAAAGAAAAGAAATAGGAACAAGTTAATTTCTACAAAATGTGTATTTTGTTAGTGAGGTACTGAGGAGTAAATCTAGGGACTTTATACTGAGTTACATCCTTACCCTTTTAAAATTTTTCTTACTGAGACAGGTTCTCATTAAGTCACTGGGTTGCCTATAATGACAATCAAACCATTTCCCCTGACAAAACAGGATATATTTATGTAATATTTACAAAGAAAATGGGCTGGGCTTAAATTTGTGATCCTCCTGTCTCACCCTTCTAGTACATTTGGATTCTTGCATGCTCTTGTACTTTTCCTTGTGTCACTTAGGCACAGACTGCAGTAATGATTTTGCTACTAGTGCTGTAATTTTCTTTTTTTTTCCACAATCTAGAACCATTAAGCCCCAATAAGAAGAATAATCAAAATACTCAAGAGCCTTACTGGCTGGGCATGATGGTACATACCTATAATCCTAGCACTCAGGAGCCGAGGCAGGTGGATGACTGAGTTTGAGAGCAGCCTGAACTATATTGTGAGACCTGGTCTCACAAAAATTGTTTTTTTGAAGGGGGGGAAGAGCTTTATGACTATAAAAACAAACTAGTCCTGTTTTAAGAGACATATAAGTCACCTGATTAAAAATGTCTTTCTGAATACCATTTTAGTGACTATTAAATTTTTTTAAATTAACAAACAGTATCATGCTATGCATTGTTTTGGGTTTTTTGTTTGTTTGTTTTTATTTTTTTTGTCTTACTATGTAGCTTAGGCTGACCTTGAACTCTTGGTGATTTTCCTACTTTAGCCTCCAAAATGCTAGGATTACAGGCTTGAGCCACCACACCCCATTCATGCTCCACTCCCCACCACCCCTTGAACTATGGATTGAACTCAAGCCCTTGCACTTGCCTGGCAAGTGCTTATTCTCCTGACCTATCTCCCTGGCTTCCACATGCATTGTATTTTGAGCAGGCTGTTTTCAAACTTCAGTAGTTTGTCAAGTAGCTGCATTGCTTGCTACATTAAAACTCTTTGGCTGGGTGTACTGATGCATGTTTATAACCCCAGCACTCTGTGGGGC